GGGTTTTTTTTTTCACTTGCGACTGACCATTTGTCTTAGTGGCATAAGAAGAAAGCCATGCTGTTCTAAATCAGCCATCAAGGAAAAAATCTTCTAATGAAGATGAGAAGAAACACAGAAGGCAAAGCTACAAGTCAGATGAGTGTGAATGATAATGACTGAGATTTTCTGTTGTTCCTTGTCACATACATTTGTTGTATTCATGGAACATTTTTGGGGGCTATGTGGAAGGAAAGTTGTGACTGAATACCTTTCAATAGGTATTGCCAGTCTTGGGCAAAACTTTGAGTTCTGCTTTTCCCCTGAACTAGAAACACACTCAAACCCTAACAGTGTGCTGCAGGAAAAGGGAACTGGAATAAACTGAGGGCTCTGATAATTCCGAGGCAACACATTTGTTCAAACAGTCTCCCTTTCTGTTGGAATCATACCCACTCTGAGCCTGGTTGCTTTATACAGGCCAGTGGAGCACCTGTAAAAATGGAAGTAGAAATTGTCTTTCTAGGGATTATGACTGAGTTTCAGTTATGTGCTTACATGCTGTTTATCTGCAAATTTGGGGCAGGTAACTTTGTACACGGGGCAGAAGGTAAACATTGAAAAGGAGGAAGTTCTATTCTCCCAGAAGGAAGGAGATGAACACTGGTTGCCCATCCACAAAGTATTCAGGCACCATGATAGGTGCCGGATACCTGCTCAGTGTTAGTCACTCATCCTATCAATGAGCAGAACAGACGGAGATCACCATGCTCATGGGGCTTGCATTCAGGCATTAGTGAGAGTCTTTCTCCTTCATTTCTATGATCTAAACTACTTGATTTTTACATGCACCAGGGAAGGATCAGGGCAGTCTTCTTGAGAAAAAAAAATTATAAAAAGATCGAAAGAATGAAAAAGAAGGGAGAAATTAATAAAGGAATAAAGGGAGGAGAGAGAAAAGAAGAGAAAACAATAGAGGAGATGAAGGAAGGAGGGAGGGAGGAAGGAAAGGAGAAAGGGAGAGACAGAGAGATGGAAGGAAGGAGAAATGAAG